GGCGGTTTTGCTAACTCATTTTAACCAAGGGGGATGCCACTGCACCTTTGCTGTGCTCCTGGTAAGTAACCGGTACATCCAAAATCTGTACGTTCAAGAATGACTTCGGCAGCTCAGAAATATTAATTGCTGATGTTATTCCTAGAAATATTGCAACCACACTGCAGTATGGTTAGAAATGACCCAATACTCTGGGTCATAACAAAGTGTTCAAGTATAATCAACTAGTTTGATTTAGCTACTCGATGGTCTTTTTGTTCTGTCCATCTCCAGCTAGATGGTGCTTCAAGCCTCAATTGTATATAGCGATACTCAATATTTAATTTTTTTATATATAGATAGTGTGTGTTAAACTGCTAGGTAATGGTGTGACAGTATCATACCACCTACAACTGTACAGCTGTACCCAGGCACTGTGAAAAGGGCCAGCATAGTTACAAACAAGGCTTTAGATTTAACTTATTGAGCTTCCTGAGCAAAACAGCTTCTGATTAAGCCAGATGAGAAAAAAAATAAAAGTTTATTTCAATTAGACTCTGTAGAATATATTTTTGCATTACTGTGTGATTTTTGTCACTTTTACTTTTTGAAAGTGGTCACATAAAACATGAATGATGCAGATTACACCTTTGATATTGAAAACGCATAAATATGGTGTAACAAATCTTTGGGTTCTGTACATCTGCACAGAGCAACAAATGAAGGAAGTTGACAATAATGAAATTATCTCAGCATATCACCTCCAGAATGTTGTTCATGCTCCTGTATTGCAAAGGTAAATTAGTCCAATTCTCTCATTTCAAGAGTGACAAGCCTGAATCACTGCTCGTAGTTGTGTAAATCATGAAAATGTGATTGCAGACGAAGTCATTGCAAGTTTATATTCTTGTCAGCTTGGCTTACCTAAGCACACAAGTAACTAATATGGTAAGTATGTTTGCTATATAAAATGGGTGCTCTAAATAGGCAAAGGCAGGTACTTTCCCTTTTTATTCGTTATTTAGCACCTACTGTTGCATATTCCCTTTCGGAGCACACTCTTTAGGCAACATTTTGCTGATACCATCTCCTAATACTTAGTATACAAGCAGCGTAAAGCTGTAAGACGGTAATGAGGGCTGTGCGTATGATCTGATAGCAATAAGGCTTAGAAGATGTAAACATGATATTGCTTCCAGACTTCCAATTAGTTGTGGGATAATTGAAATGGAAAGAACCTTATTTAATTGGGAAGACAAGGTGAATAGTTTGAGTTGGCCCTTGGGAATGAACGTGATACAAATTACAGAAGCAAATCTGAAACAGGCATCCTTACTTAAGAGCCTCCTAAGACTACCTTGACTTTAAAAAATTATGAATCTGTTTTTAACAGTCTGAGGAGTAGTCTGCTTCATGCATCTCCTGATATCTTCTGTAATGATTCTCTGAACTCTTTTTCCTGCAGCAGCTGGCCTGAAACCAGTCTTTTCGATAATTGTGACTCCTTAAGCAAAATGAGTAAGCTAATGGGACTAGAAACAAATAATGAAGAACACAGGCAGCTATGACAAAGATTTCTCCCGTGTTCAAGATGCTCTGTGGTTTGTTATTCCCTACCAGTGTGGTGACCTACAGAGGCATCACAAAACACTAGAAGGTCGGTCTAGCTGTCCTTCTGTTCCTCGCTCCTTCTGGCCAACAGCGGGGGATTCTTTGTGCGCAGCCGTCAGGGGCTCTTGCAGCAGCGTTTGGGCCTACCGTCAATGTCGGCTGTTTTACGCTGGGAGTTAAGGGCAGGCGTCACATCTCTAAGCTCCTGCTATGTGAGAGTCTGTGCTTCCCCGTACTGACAAGGAATCTTGGCGCCTCTGTGGGGATAGACACAACCATTAACGCGGAATGCCAACTGGCCTGTCTGCAGTCTTCTTCTAAGTCAGAAGACGCGGGCTCTCGCTCACTTCCTTGGTGTGTCCCGTTAACTCAGCCTGCAACTTCGGTGCGTCAGGGAAAGGGGCAAAGACCAGCCTCCTGTCTGAACCACCTTTTATTCTTTCTGCAGCTATTAAAGCATTACTAAAACCAAGAGTGGTGGGAAAGCTGAATAACTTAAGTTAGTTTTACCAGTAACTTCAGAAATGAACCTGTCGATAAAGTAATGGCAGTAGAATAAGACACTTTCTGAGCAGCTGAGTGTGTTGGGCTATGGAGTTTTGTGCAACCGCCTGAAGAATCTCCAAAGAGGCTCCCGAAACTTCAAATGGAGTTAGCCTTTTCCAGAGTGGTGGAATAAACAAGTGTCAAGGTATAATCTTGATATTTTGATAGAATTAGAATTGTAAATCAGGAGCGAGCCGTGTAGCTGATACAGTGAAATAGGCCTACGTGCCCCTTCGTCAGGCTTTAGTGAATTTATCACGGCTGAAAATTACACTTCAAGCCTTATTAAATAAGATTGTGTGGCACCTTAACTAAGAGCTATCGAATTGTTAAACATTTAAACTGTATCTTCATCAGGCTTTTGCAGCTGTTTATATTGTTAATATTTGGAACAGATACAGAGCATATACACTTATACGATGATGGGCTGAACTACTCAACCTCCTTTGGGCCACAAGGCCCCCTTTGGAATTAAGCTTTTCCTGTGTAATAAGGAGGGTGGGAAGCGCTTGACTGATCCCCTCGCTCCCACTAATGGGATCCCAGCAGAAAGTTAATCATAGAATCGCAGAATGCTTTGGGGCGGAAGGGACCTTTGAAGGTCACCTCGTCCATCCAGCTCTGCACCAAGCGGTCCATCGAGGCTTGTTGCTTCTGCCCAGACACACCGTGTAGCTCCACTTGCACTTTAGTCCCTTCGTGCAGGTGCTGAAGAGCTTCATGATCAACTTGTGTACACCGTGAGTGCCTTCTGTTATAGGGGCATGCTCCCCAGTACATAGCTCCCAGTATTTACTAGCTGCCTACAACCAGGGTGATGTTACGATGAAGCGCAGTAGTAGCACCACCCAGCTGGGCCCCCGTTGCTGTGCTCCTGCGAGGAGATGGCAGGCTGCTCTGCAGGCAGGGGCTGGCGTAGGTGCTTTGGCCTCCTCAACAGCTCCGTCCTGCACAGCAGACCCTTGTTACAGGCACAATCTAAATGCATACAAATACTTGTTACCAGCTGCAAGATGATATTCATATGCTTCTCTGAAGGGTAAGAAAGAGATGAAGTGCTAAAGCACAAGAGAGCCAGTAAAAAATACAATTTATTGGTATAACTCGGGCCACAAAAGTGCTGTCCTTTAGGCAAAAGAATTATGGAATAAGTACAGACAGTAATTGTAGTTTTTAATAAAGAGACATTATTTTTCCAGGGCCTTAAATACTAATATAAATTAAATATCATATAGGCATGTCAATAGGTTATTGATAGGCACTCTGTCAATATTTTCAGTCCCAAGCCATCCAAACTAATTATTGTTCTGAAACACAAAAACGCTAAAAAGATTAGAACAGAAGGCCAATAATGCAGCTTCCTTTTTCATTTTCAGTTAAGGATTAAAATACAGACTTCCTTGGCTAAATAGCATTTCAGTGTCAGCTATGTGATTTTGGTAGGGTCTGTAGAAGTAATTCTATTAATAGAGCCGTACAAAAGTTGAAATTGTTTTTTGCTGCCTGGAATTAAGGGCTGTATCCTAGTAAAGTTTTCACCCTTCCAGCTCTATTCAAGTTTCAGCAGTTTGTACTGTTGTGTAGTTTTATAAGAAACTCCATTATGGTGTGATTTGTTGCAAAGTGGGTGAACCCTCCCACCCACAGCTGCAGATTTTAGGACATGGAGAATGACTTTTCCAGGTAATACTCTATTATTTGAAATCAAGAATTAAATTTTGAAACTGTAATTTAGACTTTCTGTCTATCATCTGCTTTGTCTCCAAGAGCCCAGTCACTAAAGGAAAGAGTCCTGTTGTCCTGCAGACAATATCCAATAACATATTTCAGAGAAACAGGCAGTAGACCTTGTAATAAACTGTTGCAGATACAAGCTTCTGCCAGAAGACGACACTTCCTGACCTTTGTCATTGCCGAATGAATTGTTGCTCTATTTATCAGCTCTGCTTAATACAAACAAAGAGCTAATTATGGCTATTTCTTTTCCACCTTTACTGAATATATTTATGATTTCTGTAAAAATACTCAGCATTGTCTTGCCTTCTGAAAAAAAGAGAACATATTATCTGTCACAGTCTCAACAGAAGTGATTTAAAGAACTGTGATGATTAACTGTAGGATTTTGCATTGATTTAACGAAAGCATTTATTCCTATTCAAAATCTATTTGACAGCTTTGATCAGAGTGGTGAGTGTAGGGGAAATGATCCTCACCAGCTTCTGTCCCTCTTCGCGGTTGCTTTCCTTACTTTTGTGGCGCTGCCTCCTCTGTAAGTACTTAACGGTCTTGTTGAAGGGGCAGCGCTGTCAGGCTCGGGGCGCCGACGCGTTAGCGCTGTAGCTGCACGCAGTGGAAGCTTGGCCTCCCCCGCCAGCACAGACGAGGTGTCTGGTACGAGGGGGGTATCTGTTGTAATCCTCTGCAGACCGAACGTTGGGAGAGATTGGATCCCGTCAGATACACAGCATCATTCCTGGGATTGTTTTTATTCATGGAGCTTACCTAGACACGTGGCAGTTTCCAGAACACCAGCGTGGAGTCTTCCTTGATTGCTGGTTGAGGAATGAGAGGCCTGTGCAGTCTGACTGCAGGTGGTCGCAATTCCGCAGCTTCCCGGCAAAGATCTTTCCCATTTTCAGGCTTGCTTTCCCTTAGCAGCGGGCTAAGCTACTTCCTGAATGCCTCAGCCTACGCTTAGTCCCCTGCCTGTGCCTGACAAGTGTGCTTGATGCAGAAAGCTCCATACGTTTAGGGTACCACAGAACTATTGTAGCGCGCTTTGTAGCACCATGGGGTACCAACATACACATACCTACCGCGAGTATTTGCTTACAGAAATCTTTCCAATTTAGAATCACAGTAATTCAGCTAATTGGGGCTCCAGTGGTAACAAGCTTATAATAAGCTCCTTCCATGGCCATCAGTTCATCATGAGTGCCCCTTTCGATGACGAGTCCTTGCGACATCACAGCGATGATGTCAGCGTTCTGGATGGTGGACAAGCGGTGGGCAATGACGATGCAGGTACGTCCCTCTCTGGCCTTATCCAGCGCTGCCTGCACAGTCTAAAGGCAAGAGACAACGTGTCAGAGTGAAAACATGCAAACCAGATTGGGGCTCAGAGCTGGAGAAAGCTGATTGCTTCACATTAATTAACCATATTGTGCAACACTTGTAAAAGTCAGTATGAGCCTACATCGACGGTTATGTTACTGGTGTGCTTAGCTGGGTCAGGAGCCCAGTTTATTAGCAGTACAAAGAAGGGACGGGTAAATAGAGAGCAGGAATTAAGGCGGGCCTTTATTCAGCTGACGTGCTGACTGTCGGCTCGGTGTGGATGTGTTTTTAAATTTCCACCATTTCTCTAATCTCTGAGCATAACCAAGCCATGCAAATTATCGCCCAAGTTCTTAGGCCCCTCGCTGCTGTTTTTATTGGATATTCGGGCTCAGCATTCATATGCTTGAATACATTTTTGTTTGTTTGTTTGTTTTTAATGTGCAGAAACTGTATTTATGAAACATTCCCACTGAATGCTTTGAAACCCAGGGAATTAGTGTGCGCATTTCTAAAAAAGCGCTGCCTCTCGCTGGCAGTCTAAGAGCCCTTGTAGCTGGCTGCTTGTTTTATAGCTGTGCTTTCTGGATCTTTCAAAAAGATCATTGAAGGTGTAAGTGCTGAATTAACAATGTGGAATAACGTTGCGGTCATGCAGTGGAGTACGTCGGGATGTCTCTGTAGAACAGAAAAAGGCATTGTACATGTAAGCCATTGCATTAGCTTTCCCTTATTGCTTATCGCTGCACATTTACCTTTTCACTTTCTGTGTCTAAGGCAGAGGTGGCTTCATCCAGTAATAAAATTTTCGGATCTCGTATGATGGCCCTCGCTATAGCAATGCGTTGTTTTTGCCCACGAGACAGCTGGGATCCTTGAGCCCCAACATGAGTTTTGTATTTCTGAAAAATATGCAAAAGGAAGATTTTATTCCGGTGTAAGCAAACACACCAGTACACAACCTGAAGGAGGAGCAGGAGGAGAGAGGCAAAAGCGCTGATCATTGCTGCCTCCTCCTTAAATAACCCGGCAGCGCAGAAACGCTGTGTGAGTGATACACGTGTTCAGGGAGATGTTTCCGAGCCGTGCTTTGCAGTGCATGGGGCCCAGGCAGTATGGTGGTGGGCCTGGAAGAAACATTTGATAGCAAGATGATGGCTGATTTATCTGAGGCCAAAGAAATCCCCCCACCTCAGATCTGGGAGAAGAGGCTAGAAGTGATTTAAGGGCTTTCTGGACAAGTGTGTTGTTTGGGTGCCTAAATTGCATCCATACCTTTTACGTTCTTCTGATTTATATTTATATGATTTCAGTGCATTCAAATACTTCTTAAGTGCACGTAAGCAGCCAGCTTCAACTATTTTTGTCGAAGTATCACGCCCTAGTCACAAGACAAATCTCCCACAGTTGGGAACAGATTTCTATTTCCTGACTCAGTGTAATGCTTTGGCTGCTGAACTGTGCTGCTTTTGCTTTCTTGTCCATGGCTTTGAAAAATCTTCCCTTTTCTCCTAATTGAGAGTGGTGACTGCTGGCTTCGGTTTTGTAAATATTTGCCTACTGTGTAAAAATGCAGTAGCAACTCATGCCCAAGCTGTCAGGAACATAACGAATGGTCGTGACACCCTCTTTGCTCCTACTGCGACAGCTGTAAAAGTAAATGAAAGGCATACGTGTGCAGCAACTTCATCTGGGTTTGGAGCCACTCCCGCTGCAATGAACACCGAGCAGCCTATCTGCAGTTCCACAGCCAGCGCCTCGCGGGTACTTACATCAGGCAGCGACATGACAAAATCATGCAGCTGAGCCTTCTGGGCCGCTTCTATGACTTTCTCCATCCTCGCCTCTTTGGTGTTACTGCCGTATTTGATATTATCAGCAATGCTGCAGTCGAATAGCACGGGCTCCTGGGACACTATTCCAATTTTTGATCTAAGAAACTGTACATTTATTTTCTTCGTGTCGTGTCCATCTATTAACTACCAGGAAATAGGAGAAAACTTGAAACATCGTTCCAAAACAACAGCCTGCAAAACCCAGCTAGTTTATAGCAAAACTAAATGATTTAGCCCTATTACTACATGCAAACACAACTGACTTAAAGTGATTTGAAGAATCTGCTTGTATTTGACTCCTTTGCACAGGATGTGTATTTTCTGGGTGTCGCTGTGATCCAGCCAAACACTAGACCATTTGCTTAATCTTAAGTCCAAGTGAACTATGTAATTGCTTAAGGTTAGGCAGGTGCTTTGTTGCCTTCCTGGCATAGTGATCACCACACTTATTTTTTCCAGAAAGAAAGAGAAATCAAACTCGATGGTTACACATTTACATGAGGAAAAGATAGAAAAGCTTTTGAAGCTATCAGTAATTGCATACCTGGAAGTTAAATCTAGACAAATTCAACCTGCAAAGAAGCTGCATGTTGAAGCTGTCTATGTAGGGAAGTTCCAGGCTCTTTGGTGCTCCATTCAGACTTGATTTTTGCTTGTGCTCCTGCCATGTACGCCAGACATTATATGTTTCATACAGGAGCTACCAAGGTGAATGTCTCTGGCCTACACAATGCACGAGGGCACGCCTGAGGCTTGCAGTGTTCTGATCCTGCCTGAATACATCTGAGATGACACTCGGGAGTTGCCCGAACAGTCCACATTTGTTCGAGAAGGAGCTGGAGCCCCACGCTGCATATGTACGTGCCACCACCGCTAGGCTGCACAGTAGGACGCATTCGGAAAAGTCCTTGTAGCGTTGCTGAAAACAACAGCACGCAAACCACGTTTCCTTTGCTTACCACACTTCCTTGCTCAGGGTCGTAGAAACGCTCCAGAAGCTGGACGCTGGTGCTCTTACCGCAGCCACTACTTCCAACAAATGCCAAAGTCTGTCCAGGCCTAACAGCTACAGAGAGTCCTTTCAGGACCTGAATATCAGGCCGAGAAGGGTATGTGAATTTACAGTTAAGAAATTCAATGCTTCCCTTGAAATCATCCTGGTGAAAAAAAATGAGAAAGATAGATGCTACAGTGAGCTCGAGCTCAAAACCGAGTCGTAAAGTACAAAGTAACTCTACCTCAAATTCCATTCTTGCATCTCTTATTTAAAATATGGCATTAGTGCTTGTGAAATTAGCCTAGAAAGAGGGATACAAAGCATACCGGAGTAGCTGTTCTAGAGATGAAGCCATTAGTCATAACACTAATGCTCTGGTTACACCTCCCTGTACCGCACTGGTCAGAGGCATCAACTGGAAAGAGGATTGCCTTGCAAATGGGTAAGTTTTTTATGTTAATACAGACATTGCGTAAGTGTAAATTTGGTGATAGTCCAAATACATTTGTGCAAAAAGCTGGATTTGGTAAAAAAAAAAAAAAAAAAATCAATTCAACTTCGCGACGTTACAACAACACATGAATTCAGGTCAGTTTTCCCAGAGCTCTTAAAAAACTCTTTTACAAAACTCTGAAGGGAATCAAGATACTTTATTTTCATGGTTTGAAGCAAAATACTTAATGTATTTCGTTCATAACAATTATTGCAAGTTTTCGTTTAATTCTGAAAAAAATAAGCGAAAAATAAACTGTTTGACTGTTCTGGGTCTGACTTTTCAATTCACCAAAAATTGAACATTTTCATTTTGTCTGACTCAAAGATGATTCGCCTCCTCGTGAACACCCCCAACGTTTTGACGTGAATGGAAAAAAGCCTCCATTATAAGCTAGCGATAGGTTTATGTGCGAACTGTGGCGCAGAAAGAAAAATCATGCTACTCCATGAGTCATCCAAATGGGTCCTATTCCAATTTACAGGAGTTTTACCCTGACAAATTCCTAACAGGCACACTTTATAGTACTCTTGCCGTCTAGTACAGAGCTCGCTGCTTCCAAAAGAGCAAAGGCAAGTAACAATTATACAATCAGCAGAACCTTCCTGTAAAGCAGGGATCCTCAACGGCTTATAAATCGTTCGTGCAACTTCAGTGCTTATATTGAGCTGAATGACATCACAAATTACTCATCTCCGCTCTTACCCATTTCTCCCCTTTTTCACTGTAAACACTGATTTTAGGAAGCCGATCGACCAGTTGAAAAAAGCGTGCGGCAGATGTTTTGGCTTTGGCATAGTTTGGGGTATAGGAAGAAGCTCTTCCCAAAGCAGTTCCGCTGGTCACAATAGCAGAGATCACCCTGCGGGGAAGGGGGACACGGTCATTCTTGGGAAGCCGTCGAGAGACCGAACGCTACACCGAGACCAGCGCTTCTGGAGAGGAGCCGGTTTGTGGCTCCAGGCGGGCTCTCACCTGAACACGAAGCTGTAATGGAGTCCTTCAGTGTCAACTAGAAACCCTCCGTATCTGTAGGAGACGGCGTTGGCAATGAACACTATGCTCTGGGCAAAGCCAAAGCAGAGCCCGTAAACATGTGCTTTCTTGGTTGCAGCTCTGTAGGGCATATACAGGTTCTTCTCAAAATTGTTGATAAACATTTTCTCTTTCACTATCCCAGCTACAGTCCTGATGTTAGAGAGGGCTTCACTGGAAATCTGGGGGAGGAAAAAAAAATATGCGTAAAAGCTCCTAATTTTTACGTGGAAAAGTAGAGTGTGCTCTTTCACAAATGCATGATTCTTTCATGAACACAGGGCACTAACGCCGTACAGAAATTGATTCAGATATGATACAGACTGGCCCAAATATCAGCCAACCTAAGGAGAAACTTCCCTACAAGCAATTATCTGCTAACAGCCTCAAGAGTAACGCTCTGTCTGCTCCACGAGAGCGAAGTTACCGTAAGCACACTTAGGAAATCGGGCACGTGCTCTCACTTGTGACTTATTTCACATGATGTGAATAAATGGGACATCCACAAAAGCAAAAAATGGTTTTAGGAACACTGTTATTTCCTTGATTGCATGCATTTATTAATTAAAGATGTTTATTTCAATCATTTGTTTTACTTACAGGAATAGTCAGAGCAAGGGTTAGAAGGGCTGCTATCCCCAACTTCTGTTTCATAAATTAAAACCACTTGAATTCACTACGTTTCCTCACCTGCTCACCCTCCCTCTTTCTCTTGTTTATGTCCAAAAAGCCTGATGAGATGGAACATATAAATGGGGGGTGACACCTTGATTCCTCTAACAGCAGTGGCACAATTGCCAGAATTTTTACCTTGTACATCGGCAAAGAGTAAGCAAATGCTTGCCTATGTACACAGAAAAATGCAACACAGGAGATTCTGAGGCAATCCCCATGGGAACTTCTCTGGAGCTTTAACTATTTGTACGCTTTATATTGTGCTTTGTTGCCAGTCAGAATCTGGGTTTCTGTCCCAAAAAAATAGCACTACAGTTTCATCTATAGGAGTAAATCGACAGTTTGTTTGATCCTCATTTCACCCTACTTATCTCAAGTAATTTTATTAAGAAATGGGTTTAAAATGCTGTAGTTTGCCTGGACTTTGATAGTAGTTTCATAGTGTGACGCTTTCCTTTGGGAAGCAACAGTCTGGTATACAGCTTATGGATGCTTTCAGCATGTAGGAAGAGATCTGAATATAAATCACTAAAAATATTCCATCCAATTTCAGGTTGGTTTTTTTCCTGGCCAAAATTAAGAGACAAATCTCTTGCATTATCAGGCAATGTGAAAGAGCTGATGAGTAGGTACTGTGAATTGGGTTGTTCAGACTGTGCTTGTCCATGTTTAGCATGGCTGATGCGCAATCACTGTGGAAGAACTCAGAGTGTTCAGCATTTGGATGCAGTGCTGGCAAATAAATTAGAAAATAACACCAGACATAATGAGTCATCGCCAAAACTGCTGAAGCACGGAGTGCCCTTTTCATCCAAGCCTCTGGGTCATTCCGTTGAATAAAAGCTGATGCCTTGACTCATTAGTGAAGTTTCTGTCCTTATCAAGGCAGTATTTTGATTTATCACTTTTTGTAAATAATTAAACCATTCTGAATGTGGGCAATTTGTCTGGTCTTAATTCTTCCTTGGCTTTCTGGGATTGAAGATTGTTCCTAACAGCACTCACAGTGGCCCGTAAACGTATTCATTTGATTAGTGATACCAGTGTCAAGTGATATTAATTCATGTAATACCTTTTGTGCATTTAAAAAAAAAAATTCCAGAAGTCTGCATGTGTAGGTAGTCAACATGATTTTTTTTTTTTAAGTTCTATGCCCCCAGTCAGGACATGCTGCTTTAAATCACACCCAGAAATGGGAACCGGGAGCTGAAGATTTGCTTCTTCAGAAGTCAAAAAGGGGGGTGGCAGGCAGAGCTAGCTGCGGCAGGCAACGGGAAAGAAACAGCCAGTAGGTGCAGAGCTGAACAGGGCAAAGGGCTCCAGTCCATGTGTTTGCTGCACAGATTAAGGTCAAGAGGAGGCTGAAGATAGTTGGTTGAGAGCTCAGATGGGTAGAGGGAAGGTTCAGATGGGGCAGGGTGGAAGGCGGGATGGGTAAGATGTTTGGCGGGCAGGACTTTAATGTAGGAAGACGGAAGATTGGGAGGAGTGGGAACTCTGCAAGAGTCATTTTAGGATGGGCTAAAGTAGCTCTGCAGAAGGAAAATCTCTGAAGCTTTGAGAGGGCCTGCAAAGCATACTTCTTCTGATGCTAGAAATACGGCAGCCTAAAGCGGGGGAGAAGGCTCAGGCATTACTCTGAGCGGGGTAACCTGAGGTAGCCTTCCTCGTGTTGCCAGTCTTCTAAATCCCCTGTGTTTCTGATACAGTTCAGTTTCCGCACAGCTGAACTAGGTGTATTTAAAAAGTATCAGGTTCTGGGTCTTATGCCAGAACTTCGCGACCCAGAACTAAAGTTAAAGAAGTTTGAGTGTTCCAAAGGCGGCAGACCTGCCCGCTCCTCTTTGTGCATAGGAGTGAGCTCCCGAGAAAATGACATTCCTTTCTCTTGTGTCCCTCCCTTCTCTTTGTCTGGTGCGTGGACTGGAAGTCTGCTCAGCCAGTGCAAACTTCATACAGCTATTCTCAGCCTTGTGCGAACTACGTAAACCTATTCTCAGCCTTTGAGGTGAGGCAGTTTGCAGGGTCTTGCAGCATGGATGCTGCTAACTGTGATACTGGAGTTGGAGTAACAAGGTGAAGGGCTTTAGCCAGGGGTCACTGAACACTGGACGCATTCTTTCCAAGGGAAGGGAATTCCTTCCTGATGTCCCATGCTGGTTGGTTTAATACCCACACAGGTGTGTTTTCACCATGGAACAAAATTTAAAGTATTATGAGAAAGTGCTATGTCTTCTGCGACAAATTAACAGAAAAAGGGTTAATTCTTATCTGAATAAAAAAAAAAAATATTTATATACTAGCTGAGAAATGAGAACTGATAGAATTTTGACCCTTAAAATCCATACATAAAACTAAAGTTACGCCTGTGATGTACCAGCACACATTGCTGGAGAAGCTGGCAAGCTAGGAGGGCCCACTGAAGGAACAATTCTGCTCTCTCTAAAATCCAGGCACTGATCAGTTCAGTGCCGAATTCTCAGATGTGAGGATTTTTAAGTGAACAAGTATCGCTGCTTTCTGAGGACAGCACAATCACAGGGCATCAACAAAGGGGTATTTAAATAAAACCCAACAAAGGCGAAACAAACTGCTGAGAGATCTGTGTCTTCTATGCAGCAAGTGCTTTTGCAGTTAAGGAGTTCCCAATGATGTTTCCATGGCTTGACAAGCTGAAATATCACAACTTATTTGCAAAACATTGCCAGTTCCATTACATTTGAATTACTGATGGTCCCAAATGCCTGATTTTTCAACTCCCCATGACTGCAAATATAAATTAGTTTTTTAATAACATTACCCGTCCAGCAACTTCCAGGGCTTTCTTGTCCTGAGAGGCGAATCCTGTCAGCATTTTGGCCTGCACGGCTCCAGATAAGGCCAAAAAGGGCAGGAAACACAGGATAACTAAACTCAGTTTCCAGCTGAAGTAGAACGCAATGATCATGGCCACCCCAATGCTGGTAAAGGAATTGACAATCATTCCTATCTGCGATCCAGTTGCCTTCAAAGAAAAGAAACAGAAATGATTGACTTGTATTCCAACAGTAACTTCAAAAATCTTTCAATAAATTGTCCTATAAAACTTCAGAAAACTCTGAATGATATTAAAATATCATAAGGCACCAACGGCTGCTGACTGCACTGGAATTTAGCCAGTTTGGATATACTGTTTCCAATTAATCGTATCAAGAGAAGGACTGCAAATCTCCAGTATTCCTGTCACATGCCAAACTTCCCAATGAGAACTCAGAAAATTGTTTCTAATGATTGTGAGAAAGATAATGTAACTATTGAAATGAGTTCCCTTGGTTCCCTGGCGAATTGCTCATCTGAATACTCCGTTTAGCCCCTACATTTATCCATCTAGATTTAAATAATAAACAGAACCCTTTTGCAACTTAACTATTAACAACAAAGTCTCGGCTGTGCTAAAATCAGTAAGAAACATCACGGAGAAAGAATGAATTAAAGTTGCATTTCTGCTTGTCTCTTTATTAAGGAAAAATTTTACATATGCCTTTGACATCGCCTTTATTGAATGCATTCATCTTCTCCCGATGGACTTCGAGAACACTATTCTTTGTAATAAACTTGATTTATTTACTCAAAAGTTATTTTCTTTCATAGCAGTAAACAGCAGCCCTAGATAGGAACTAGGTTGCTATGCATTAGAAAAAAACCATACATTTGATATCCTTGATCATTTTCAGTCGAATTCATTTGCAGGATGTGGACTTGCAGCACAAAATGCTCATCATCTACACTTCCCCTGACCTGCAGCAATAAGGCAAGGTGCCTCGGGCCTGGCCACGGTGGAAGATACACCTCCCAGCTCTGCAGAGGCTACCAAAAGGAGCAGCCCTAGGGCTGCTCTTACCTGGATCCTGCAGCTCTAACACCCCCCTCACTCCAAGAGTCCAGTTCTTACTCCTGGTGCAGGTGTAGACATTTTCAGACCCTGGACACTTGTGTGCATCTTCTCACCTTCAGCCTGCTCTGCAATAGCAGCAGCTGGCTAAGCTCTGTGTCAGGCAGTGAAAGGTGGAGGACACTGCTGCTCAAGTAGCTCTGTTTTTTTTTCCCCCGGAGCTGTGGGTTGAATGAGCCCCACTGCTCTACGTGTGCTTAGAACAAAGATGTCCCTTAGGAGGCTATTAAATGGTTCAGTCAGTGTTTTACAAGTTTGTTTATTTCAATTAAAATATGCCCTGTAAGTGCCTGTAAGGGCTGAAGAGGTTTGCAGCTGGTTTCTCTGATTCTGTAGAAATTGCTGCTGACAGGGGTTTTGGGAACCTCTTCTCTCATTTGTCTTTTAAATTCTTAAAATCCCCATTAATAGTTTTTAAAAACTAACCCACCATCTTCAGTCAAGCTGAAACAGGACAATTTTTGTGACAAAGAAATCTGTATGTTTCCTTCTCCGTTTCTAGAAAATATTGCTTGCATTGGAGCCAAGTGAAATGGCATCTGACTCCCTTCTACCAAAGCATAACTTCAGACAGATAACATTTATAGCTCAGCATGATTTCACCCTCACCCACTAAGGAACGCAACGCATGGAGTTAGTGGTTCTCTTTCCCAAATAATAAGTCACACTGAAACCGGCTGCATGAGTCCCAGGCTGGGGAACCAGCCAGTACTGTAAACTGTTTTTTCAAGTGGACTGTTAGTTTAAATCAAAACTCTCACAACAAGCACAATACCATGCTGAAAACCTGAAAACATGATCAGTGATGAATGTCACTAAAATACTAGTCTGATGTGGTTTTGAAATAAACACTTAAGCATTGTGGCAAAACAGCTGATTCATCTCCAGAAAAAAGAAATTAAAACTTTTGCACTGGATGCTCCTTGCCGTTCCATTGATGGTTGGTATTTTATTGATTTTTGTGTTCTTGTTCTGGTCATACAGGCAGGAATAATGGGCAGTAAATTGTGACCGTATTTGTGCTTTTAGGTAAACACAGTGAGAATAGTTCCACGTTGACGGTCTATGATAAATAGAAATAGCTTAACTGACTGACCAAGGACTGATCTACACTGACCTCACTGGTTGCATGCTAGCTGCTTTCTGTGACTGTGCCAAAATAGGTCTTCAATCAGTGCTTACAGTAAAATGATTCTTAAGCTACCAGGTCTTACCCCTTGGACCTGTGAGGCATCTGTTGCAAGTCTTGTAGTCAAAGCACCAGGGCTGTTCTTCCGGTCATCAAACCAACCAATGTCTTGCCCTAGCATAGCCTGGAAACCGATTTTCCTTAACCGTCTTGTAAGCAGCTCACCAGACTTGGCAAAGGTGTATCCCTGGGGTGCATACGAATAAATACAAATATTGTACAGAAAGAGATACCCACAGAGTAAAGGATCAGAAACAAGATTTACCCATATTGGACTGCTATTACCTGTAGAAACTGTGTGAAAAATGAAAGAATTCCAATTAAGACAAACAGCACGCAGACACCATTGATCTGGATTCTTCTTTCTTCTTCTTCAAGAATGGAGAAGGTCTTTGAAAAAAATAGGTGGCATCATATTAGAAGTGTCAGTTTTGCTGTGGGTGAAGTTCATTCATGACTCCCTATTACCAAGTGCAGAAGCCCACCCAAGACGTAAAGCCTCCCTCACCCCTTCCAAAGGCCCGATTCCTTATTTTTCCTAAGGTGAGCCTGGGTACAACATCATGTTTTTTACTCCTGTTAAACAACAAGTTTATTATACTCAGTGTCTGCACATACTGCTATTACTTGTTGCCCATCCCTAGTTACAATTATCAGTCATCCCCCCATTCTAGACAAGATCCAGTGTGATAACCAGAGAATAGCAATGAAATAAATAGCACAGCAACAAAGCAACAGTGCAGCAGCTCCCTTATCTCCTCACCAGTCTATGCCAATTGCAACTTTATTGGGCCATACAAAACAAAGTTTGTGTAAATAAGTGTACCCTGGCATGAGTCTCCTTGCACAACGCTAACAGATCTGTAACTGCTACAGGTAGGCTTCAAGAGGAACCGATTGTCTTTTACTGAGGGAGTGTGGATACGAGCTATTCGCTTACTGCTGGGTACTTGACAAAAAGCATTAGTGCTTAAAGTAGAGCCCCTCCACCCATTCTGCTCCAGTCTCCATATTATTTTCCTTTTATCTCCTGTTTTTAATGTCTGGGCTTTTTCAACACCTGCCAGCATTACTGGCTGCTGCTGAAGTAGTGGTCCAAATCTAAGTAGCCATCCTTTAGCAATTCCTTTCAGTCAGAGCGGATGATATGTAGGTCAGTTAACCTACCTGAAGTTGTTAAACTACTTCTGTTACTTGCAGGTATAAGCCACAGCTCATGTTTGTACTTCTCCACTAACCTTAAATTAATTTTAATTGGATTTTCACAGGTAATAATTACTATAAATTGACTAATCTCTCAACCTGTTATCTGTAAGGTGCAAATAAAAATAACTTGTGCATTCAACTTTTACTTATATCAAAACCAGCTTAAATTCTTCTAGGTAAGCCTTTAACAGTAGAAAGAGAAGAAGGAATTTTCATTACAGCTGCAAAATGTAAAAATTCCACAAAAATAAATTTAAGTACTAGTCTTAAAAGGTCAACCCAAGTTATCTATGGTTCAGAGTGAGCTATGCATCAAAGTAACAGGGAGGAATTAGAGCATGAATTTGAGAAAAAGAAATAGCTGTTCTCTAGTGGGAATTCCACTTCAAGTATTTTAACTTTGTACATCAGCACCTTGGCAACAAAATAAATCCTGCAAAATCCAAAATGATAATATCAAAACGGCACTTAGTGTTGCAAGCTAAGAGCTGTTCCAATGCCGTGCTGTCTTATCAGTAGGAAGGTATATTAGTTTCTCAGGTTAATCTTTGTTTAAGAAAAAAAAACCACCAGGTATTTTTTAATCTTTCATAATAAGAACAAAACATATAATGGTCTGCTGCTGTTCTTATCCCCTTAATGAAATCCACTGTATATCCAGTAATTCATGTTTGATCCTGAATTGAACAGGCTGTGAGCAGATTTCATCTGTCTTTGTAACATATGTATCTAGAAAAGATACCACTGTTTTTTTGTTTGTTTTTGTTTTTTTTTTTTTCTGTAGAATGTATTCTAGTTAAACACTTGGACTGAATGACATACAAGTTGAAATCAGTGCATGCAGAAACTGTGTCCTACCAGGATTCTGGATTTTAGAATTGCCATGATGGTATTTTCTGCATCATCATAGCGTGCAATATCTAGACATGAATGGGAAAATGCACTTCATAGTAGTGGTCGTGCCACATGCACAGCTAGCCTAAAACGTAACCAGGGGAATAACTGCTCATCACTGTGAACATTTGTTAACGTGTACGTCATGTTAATTACAGTGCTGTGGTACTTCTTCCGTATGAAAAAACATCAGCAAAATCTCTGTTGAAATGAATAGGAATTCCAATGGGTAAAACTAACAAACAGTATGATAAACAGTGTGGGATGGATCATAATAAATATACAGTTGTGAACTGGGATGAAAAACACTACTCTCCAGAGATGCTGATGGCTTTTTCACAAGTGATTTGCGTGCTGTCTCTGCAGTCATCCAGAAACACTGGGATGGCCCCATACATGGGTTGAACTTAACGTTTTTTCTTTTCACACTTTGAAATTTTTCTCTCTAGTTGAATAAATAAATATCAAATACAAAACTGAGCTTTGAAAAGAGAAATAAACACTTGCCCCAGGACCCTACAGCGAGTCCCACTAACTATTTATGCTTGTTATAAATAAGCTTTTGCTCATTGCTTCTGTATGGCTAGATGGTAGGCAAGATTAAGTAGGAATCTTCATTTCAAGAAAGTCAAAGGCAACACAGTTCCTGATTTCAGGGAGGCTGGATCCATATCCATGCTTATGAAAGGTGCTCATGAAAAGGGAGAGTGCTGTAAGCCTTTCCTTTAATATTCTATCCATATCACCCACATTCAAAATGGTCCCCCTGCTTTCTCTTATGCAAGAAATATGTTGTGAAAGGCCTTCCCAGTTCCTGTAGCCAGGTTCTCCATTGCTCCTAGATAAAGGCTGAGAGAACTGCAATGTCTGCAAGACACCTTGAGGGTTTCTGGTGAAGCCAGTTATTGGTCAGTCTGGGATTCCTATTGCAAGCTCTAAATTCAAGGAAGCGTCACAGCTCAAGGAAAGCCATGGGCTGAAGTACATGCTTACACTCTCCCGAAACTGAGAGCAATAGGACTTTATAGTCCTACAGAAGGAAATGTGGATAACACTCGATGGGAAGAGATCTCTGTATTTCAAACAGAGAATTTTTTTTCCCCCGTGCAAATCTGTCCTGTAAAATTGAACTATCCCATTCTGCAGCTATCCGAACATGCTCAGCTATGGTTTTGGCCTATGTTCTTGATTTAAAAAAATAACACTGATGACAGTAACATGTAGCGTGGACAATAGCATCAGGTTTATAAAAGGAAAGAAAGAGTTGTTGCTGAGGTGTCCATGTTCAGATTATACAAATTTCAACAGTTTTAGCGTGGACTATCTTTTACCTGGGGCCATGGGCCCAATAGCAGTCGGAGCACATCTTCCAGCTGAGTTTCACTGGAAAGGATCCATTTCCCATACTCTGAGACAGTTCCACAGTGGGAACCAAAGCATAGTAAGAAGAAACTACTGAGAAATTTGTTCCAAAGGTACACTTCTGACTTGAACTGACCAGAAGACATATCCAGTATTATCCAGTTCTTCATTCACTTTTGGGAATTAATTTCTGAGAACCTTCAAGGCAGACTTTGCTAAATTTATCCTTTCATTTCATAGCCATGGGGATTTTTCCCCTCACTTCCCCAGCATATTGGTCCCAGATTACAAGCCCACATGTCTGTCACAACATCACTGCAGATATTCAGGCAGCTTGGAAAGCAGATGCATATTCTATCTGCCTGACTGCCTTGGCGCCAGGCAGAAATGTTTTAAATTTATGAATAATGAAACACAGATGTTGAACTTCGTTCGTGTTCGTTATGGCTTGTTTTTTACTTGCAGGCTCTCTCCTGTGATGGACTGAGACCTTCAAGAGAAGGAATTCATCCTTGGCAATGAAGGCATTTAGCATCTTGCAGGATGATGTCAGCCCCAGACCTCCCACTGTCTAGAAAACCTCTCTCAAAAGGAATCAAAGGTTAGATTCATTGCAGAATGCACATAGCAGTGTCTCACCTGCTGTCTAGTGAAAGCCACGGTCCTTGGCATGAGGTCCAGACACTCAAAAAGTGTTTGGAGGTAGCACACCTACAGCTAAAAGGCCAAGCACAGTGGCCAAGAGCCACTAAGTGGGTCAACAGGGACTGGAACATCTTGTGCTCTTCCCCTCCCTGGATCTTAGCTAGCAAACATCAAGCTGCAAGTAAATGTGATTCCAAGTCCTGAGTAACTGCCCAGAGAGAAATGTCTAAGCCAAAACAACCTCCCCAAAAAAACAAACAGCAAAAGGTCAATCTTTCCTTTCATAGATTGCTGGCACTGCTATTATTAGGAGCATATTCTCAGCTCTTTTCTAATCAGTAGCTCAGATGCTGGGGCCTTCATTCATTCACTCTT